ATTGAATTTCGCATGGCGTTCTCGGATGATTCCAATTGTAATTATTTGTACAGCGTAAAGTAGTTTTTTGGGCAAAACTAAAATGGCAAGAACATTTTTGATTGCGTGATTTAGAATGATGAAATACGAAAATATTTACTTACTATTTTTTTTCATATCCTGTTGCACACTCGATTTCAGCTATAGTGTTTGGTCTAATTTTATCACACACGACAGGCGCACTGTCGAAGAAGCAAGTGGCCACGGTAGATTTATCCTCATGTAGTATCGCTGCATTGCAGTATTCTATGAATAAACAATAACATTTGTACAGGTCCGAATCCACCTTGAAAACTTACTCACCGCGATTGGTGCAAACTGGCAGCCGTTTGTGCCAACCGTCGTTTGTGCAGAGCAACACGTCTTCTCCGTCTAAACTGTAGCCGGGTTGACATGCAAATTTAACAAGCACATTTGTTTGCACACTCGAACCGACAGCGATACTCGTACCCAAGTATACATTCGTGATTATTGCATTTGCAAGATTGGCAGGTATTTGACACTTATTTCCAATTTGTAGAGCTGTTTGTGTTGTAGGCTTCTCCGTTGCCTTCGGCGTTGGTCGTACGCCGGAACCTTTCTTTCGTATTCCACCACATAGAGCGTACGATTCGTCCGAACCGTCGTGACACTCTACGGTGCCATTACAGGCGGCTTTACCCTCAATACAGGCACCGTAGGCGCATCTATAAGCGAAGGACTGGCACGTAAATGGTGCGCATTTTTCCAAAGTTTCGTCTTCTCCCTCCGGGCAGTCGCGTATGCCATCACATAATTTATCACTATCTATACATACACCATTCTTACACTGCATTTCCGAATCACTGCAATATTAGGAAACTAAATCCATGGCTTTGGTATAGAGTTTTGTAAGTATTTACCCACATTGACCGCGTATCGCCATATTCAATTCGATGCTCGTCATTTGACATATGGTTGGCAATTCGTCCGAGTTATCTGCACAGTCCTGTTTTTGATTGCAACGAGTTTTACCCGTAATACAGGCGCCATAGGCACAACGAAATGCGAAAGTCGGACATGTTGTATTGGTGTAGCAGTTGTTTATAGTTTCATCCGAGCCATCGGCACAGTTGATAATACCATCACAGAGATATTCACTTTCCAAGCAGTCGCCATTGTCACAGCTCCAATCGCATTCTGTTTTCTCTAAAGTTATTGAAAAAAAGGGAGTTATTCTGGGTATTAATTATGGTACTAACCCCGGGGGGACTCTGAACATTTAAATATTTTCGTTATGTAGGTATAGATAAAACTAAAAGAGTGCGTTTTTACTGCAAATGTACTTACATAATAGGTTGTCAAAAAAGTCTTGCGGTATTTTTTATTTTTTTTATTTTATAACGGTTTGATGACTCATGCTCAGCTCTTGACCGATGCTACGGCTGCTACTATGCCGGTCTCTTTCGGCCATTTCAGCGATTGTATCGCAATTTTCGAAGACAGGTCTTCCGGAGCGTGGTGCACCTTCGACCACGTCTACACCAGAACAAAAACGTTGAAACCATCGTTGTGCGGTGGAAATGGAAAATGTATCGGGTCCATAAACTGCACAAATTTTATTGGCGGACTGAGATTCATTTTTGCCTTTATCGTAGTAGTACTGTAAAATATGCCGTATTTTCTCTTTATTTTACTCCATGTTTGCGACGCTATAACTCACGAACGACTTAAAAGAAACGACAATCAAACAAACATGTGTTGGCGCCGGAAATGAGCTTTCCAAAAAGGTAAAGCATGACCCGATGCGACAAATAAAACTAGAACTACGCGCTCTCAGCGCCAACTAGCGAAAATACCGCAAGACAACGGAATATGTTGAAATTGAAGATTAGCCAGATCTTTGTTTTGGTACAAATACAGTTCAACAGTTTTTTTTTTTTATGAACTTGACTCAATTTGAGCTTGGTTCTTCTGTTTTCTAGAAGTAAATGTATAAATTCGTTGTCGAAGAACGTGTACAACTGGAAGTTTTAAACCCATTGTATACTTATTTCGCTTGGTACCTTGTATGCCGTAAAATAAATTTCATAATGGTACTGATTCTACACATATCAGTGATAAAAAATTAAAAACTGATATCAAGTAGAAGAAGCATTGCTTCTGGTCCCATAAAATGGAATGATTGTGTATTTTTCATTTAAATTCCAACTTGGGCTATCGTGTTCTAGAATTTAGAAAACTGTAGCAGTCGACGCGGCGATAATACTGAGGCAGAAGAAGAAACCAGGAGTCCCGCTTTAAATTTTGCGTCTGTTTACGAGTGTTTTCTTATAAGTGCAATTTGTTTACGAAGAGGCACACGTACACATATGCATGTTTATAAGTGCCTTTAAGACTCTCTTAAATCTCTTTACAATTTGCTATAGTTTGTGTTTTACACAAATGAGTCAACAAACAACAAAATACTAAGAATACGCCACTTTTTCATGCATTTCATAAATAGATTAAGCAAGATAACTCAAGCACAAGCCAAAAGTTTTAACATTTTTTAAATTTTTACTTACGAAGGTGACCGCCGCCGATAATTGCCAAGACCGCTATCAAATATATATTTATATGCTTATTGAATGAAAAATCAACAACATCCAAGCCCAGCATAATTTACAACTAAAATCACAACTGCTCGGTAGTGTATGTATGTCACTTTTTTTAGAGCTTAACACTGTTGTGTCTCAGTGTTTCTGTCACACGATAACTTTTAACAGAGCTTCACAATCGCCACTTGAGACATCGTCGAGATCTCGAAAGTTACTGAAGCCGCCGGTTTGTGCTCAGCTTCATTCTCAAATGTACGAAAGCCAATATACAATTATACATAGTACATATGTATGAATATGGATATGTAAATACACTCATAAGTGATATGATAAGCGGCGATTTAATTTTTAGCCGTGGAGACACCGTGAGCGTAAAAAGAGCGCGAGTTTAGAATTTTCAAATACTAATAACCGATATTTGCTCTCCCTTGTAAGTGCTTTTGTTTTGATAATCCAATGGGTTGAATCTCTCGTACCTGAATTTATAAAGCATGAAAGTAAAATTTTATATGTGGTCCTGGCAAAAGTTCTGTTACAAGCTCAAGCTATTATAAATAAAAAAGAAACTATAACATACATTGTATATTATATAATATTATATTAAATGAAATAATAATGAAGAAGATTGTATATTAAATGAACGACGTTAAAAATTGTATTAGAAATGGTCACCTTTCGCTTTCATGCAAGCTCTCAAACGATTCGGCTATTGATGTGCGTGCTTCTACTGTTTCTATTGACCTTGACGACGCTGCTCTTTTTGAGACTTTCCAAATTTCTGTGAGTTATTTGACATTCTATACTCTCCAACTATGATCACATTGTGCATTCGGCTTCCAGACGACCAATCATTTGCAGCTATGAAAGCTGGAATATTGATTTTAACCGACTGCTGCGTGGTTTAAGCCTTGTGTGTTAGAGCAGAGTCCTACTGAATGATCCAGTGCTCTTCATCGAAGAGTGTATTGCTTAACTGCTTTATCACGCCTTCTAAAACATGCTGCTGATAAGTTTTCATCGCAGTTTTGGCCTCTTTTTCACAGAAGTGAAGCGGTGTAATACCTTTACAAGAGATTCCCCACCAAACCATTAAGCAGCTGAATGATGACCATGTTGAACCTTTGGAATAACATTTTTTGTATATCTTTATGTTAGTGCCTCGATTTTGTCACGTTGCTTATTAAATACTTATTTATTAGTGGAAAATATTTTAATCTGTAAGGGGACAACTTTGATTTCCTTTGAAGCCTTGTGTCTGTTGTGCTTAAATTGCTTTAATCGTGTTGCCAGAAGATTACTAGTGGCTGATTTTCATGTGAAGATCAGCTCAAATAAGTTTCGCAATTAAAAGAGACGATCATTGACAAAGTTTTCTGTTTTTTAAGGAGTTTTCTGCCAATGTGTTCGCGAACAGTTTTTATGCTTAAACTGTTTCGTACCATGGGAGCACGACCATTTCTCTTTGCCTCATCAACTGGAGGCGTTTCGGAAAAACGATCAATAGTATTCTCGAAATATTAAGTGCTTTGAGATGCTCATAAATTTCATTTGATACACTAAGAATAAAATACAGATCTCTGCAGTATTCATTGCTTACTTTTTGTTTAGCAGGCGTTAGACATGTTTTATGACTTGACAACTTTTGTGTGCTGAAAGAAATATGTAGATAAAATAATTTGTTTCAGAATTTGTGACTAAAACCAGTACAACAGCGGAGTCCTAGCTTCCATATTCGCCAGACATGGCCCCATTTGACTTTTTTTATTTTCAAAAATTAAGATAACCTTAAAGATCCATCATTTCACAAAATAGATGAAAAGTTATGGAAGAGTTAAGGCATATCCCAAATATCGAGTTTGAGAAGTGTCTCGACGATTAGAAGAAGCGTTGGCTTAAGTGTAACGTGTTTTTCAATAAGAGCGCTACAAAATGGTTTGAAATATCAATGAAATTCTTTATTCCTTTTGGGCGCAAGCGTGAAGTTCAATATTTTCAAACTATTGTTGGATCGTATATCTTTCCATGATGAAATGGTCAACCTTACTGAAGAGAAATGTTAAAAGAGCGGGAAAAATATGGCGTCGTTTGCGGTCCCTATCGGTCTACTTTTGTAGCGAGTCTATTAAAAACCCTGTTATAATATCGAATGGAAACTTTTTCGGAGGCAACAATATTAATGTAGGTGAATGAATAAACATTTTCTTCAAAACACGACAATTTCTCATATACCATATATTATATACATATAATACTATGTAAGAAATCGATAAAGTGTAAAACGTAAGCGAATTCACAGTGTAGAAAATTCCAAGTTTTTACATATGTAAGCAACTTAAAGAATGAATGACATAAAATATTTTTTGACATCATATATACGTTCGCAGGCAGTTACAATTTTCTGCAACTTTGAAAATTTTTGTTCTTAAATCAAAATAAAATAAATTTTTATCGAAGAAACAGTTTTAAAGCATTGACCTGCTACTACAACATGCAAGCGCAGCGTAAAATGTATACTCTCTTCGGAGTGTCCATCTTCATTGTGGTGTGGTGTTTGATTCTCATCATTTGCCTCTCCGGCTTTTCGCATGAGTCACGCAAGTTTCGCGCGATACTCTTTGTTATTGTTGTCGTGGTATTCTTTCACTGCCTTATTGGTGACTTTATAAAATTTCTCGGATACGCGTGCTACTCGGCATTGCGTAAGAAACCCGCTGTGCAAGAGGGTCCTGACGTAGGTCGCTCTTCGATCACCTACAATTACGATGAGGATGCACTTGTGCGCTTACAGTTAGCCAGCTACGAGGCTGCAATGTACACAACTCCTTCGCATTATAACGAGTCGCTGAATCTCAAATACAAACAAATCATCAACGAGTTGCGACTCTATGGATTGTATTTCGTATTGCTGTTGCTCTTAGTGGTGGGTTCACGCAATTTTCAAGCTTATTACAATACGGAAACGCTAAAAACGGTGCTGCAAGAAAAACGTTTGGACGCGATCGGACTATATTATGTGAATACTTTAGATGATATATACGAATATATACGACACATTGTAATTGAAGCTTTCAACCAGGGGCACGACTACAACGAGAAGGTGATAGAGGAGCCTGGCTGGATACAATATAATATCGCCAAGCTGCTAAGCGTAGTGCGACTACGGCAAGTGCGACGCGCGGAGCCGTACATTGGTTTGAGTACACCTGATTTCGATGATAAAAATTTCATGCCCCGTTGGCAGCTGCCTTACGAGCAGTTACACTATATTTCTAAGTATATACATACTTACGGCCCTTGGTTAGCGGGACAAATGGATTGGAGTATGTTTACTCCCAGTCACCATCAGGGCAAGTTGCACACATACGCTGAGAATAATGGTTATGCAACATTTCTATCACGCGATCTAAACAATAGTCTGAAAATACTGGATTATCTGGAGAAAGCCCATTGGCTTGATGCACGCACCGCCGGCGTTTTCATCGACTTCACGCTCTACAATGCCGATTCGAATTTATTTAGCGTCTGCACAATTTTGTTGGAGTACACACCGTTCGGAAATGTGCTCTCCCATGTTGATGTTCAGAGCGTTGGGCTGTTGTTAAACATGGACAATTTGCCTGCCGTGTTCTTGATCATATTTCTGCTCTACCTTTTTACATTGATTTATTTTCTCAAGCACCTGTTTTTGAATTTACTGTACAAGACGAAAATGTCCGCTTCGCCATGGAATTGTGTGGACGGTGTTATAATTCTACTGAATGCATTTATCATCATTTTGATTATTGTACGTGAGATTAAAGTGTCGACGTTGATGTCAGAATTCGAGGATTCGATGAAACTGGAGTTTATAGATTTCCGTGTGCCGGCAAGTATTGACTATTTAGCAAATTTGACCATTGGATTGCTCATTTGCCTGACTACCGTACGTTTGTGGAAGGTGTTTCAGTTCGCCAAACCGTTTCGTGTCTTCACACGCACTCTGTATCGTGCGCGTTGGGCACTACTCACACTTCTGGTAATCATCGTCATTTGGTTATTCGCTTTCGGCATCAGTTCGTACATAATAAATGGCAATGACACCGAAAATTTTACACATCTCTTGAAGAGTTTCACCGCATCGATGAGTTACTCATTTGGTTTCAGCAGCACAGTTAGTCCGTATGATCTTGGCTACGGTGGACTCACACTTGGCTTCATTTTGTATGCTTTGCTGATGTTCGTCATTGCCATTGTTCTGCTCAATCTGTTCATTACGCTGATCTGTGACTTTTTTTCGGAAAACAAAAGTACACCGGAAGATGATGAGGCGAGAGAGTTGAGTTTCTGGCAATTTCTCAGAGTTGAATATGGCGGTTGTGGGCGCTGGTGTAAGCATTCGTTGTGCAGTTGTTGTGTGAAGCGTATTTACAATCCAAAGCAAGGAGATGTTAAGGAAGGCATTGAGAAATCTGTGCTGAAAACAGAGAAAAACTTAAAGAAACGTAAACTGGCAGGCCGTGAAGACAAGGGTCCCCCTTATGGGCGCCAGTTAAGAGACCTCAATCAAGTGCGTGCAATGGCGCGAAAATTTAGCGCACAGGTGGCACTATTACGACGATACCAACGTTGGCAGCAGTATTAACCATAACCTTTAATTTTTATTATTACATAATCAGTACTAATTGAAGTGCAACAATAAAAATTATGGAATATACAACATAGAAATATTGTAATCTTCTGAGGTGAGGGACATTTAAATTGAGATATCTATTTTCTTTTAGTTAACAATATTTAACATAGCTAATATTGAGATTTGTGGTTATTTTTCGTGACAAAAACCTGGAACTCTTGAATAAATAACTACTGCCACTTAATTCTCAAGAGAATTTGAATCGATGTTGAAAAGTTTTCTATGACGGATAACAGAATAGGATCGGAGCTTTATAAACATCTTGTAGGTTATATTATGTTCCATGTCCTACATAAGTCCTTCATAATTTCAGATAGATTTTAATACGAGCTGAAGTTTAATAGGGATTTATTATATAATTCTACTGCTTCGTTTAGTGCCGTTGAGGTGCGAAACTTCTAGATATCTAAGCCGAAGGATACTGCATTATTCCGTAAGCATAAAGGATCGTCTATGATTCAACTGAGAGCAGTAGATTATGTATAGTTACCGCAAAAAAAAGCTACACCAGTTCCGTACTCTAATAATATGACTTGTGTGGTGGAGTTCTTCAGAGAAGTTACACCTGTCGAATAACTGTTTATGTTCACGAAGAAATGAAAATGATCTAGTGGTTCAATAGGATGTATTATCTTGAAATCTCGACCTTTCGAGCGAGAAGGATCACATGCTTACTCCATTCCATATGAAATTCTAAAAGCCGTGCAAAATGTATTTTTATGAATACTTTATTTTGTAAAAAATATGTAAAATCGTTCTAGTAATTATATTATTAATGAAGCGAAGTAAAGGTAGAAAACCGTAGAAGGTGAGCGAAAACAGGCATGCCTTTGTAGAGAATAGTGTTGAAGTATTAAGTAGTAGCTGGATGAGATAATGAATACTTAATTACTATTATATAAATGGGTCAATGTATAAGTGATTAAACTAAGGTGTACAACCTAAACAGTAGTACGGATGGATGAGTATAAGGACAGCATAAGCCGGGTACAGATGCCAGTGGTCTTTAATATTACAGAAGGTTGATTTTTATATACTACTCAATAAAGGCGTAGATTTAGGGACGTCGCTGCTGTTGCGATGGTGGCAAATATTCACGATTGCTATTTGTGTTGGCGTTGCTGCCGCCTGTCGGCACACTACCACCACCGGGTCCATACGTAGACTGCGCGACTGCAATCGGTGCAACGGCAGTATTGAAGGCCTGCCCGCCGGCTGGCGAGCCAGTAGGGAAGCGACCGGTATTTGCATTGTAGCCCGCGGTCGATGGCACTGGTGTTACTGTGCTAGGGATCGCGCCGAAAGCGTTGGGACGTAAATTGGCAGCACCGAAAATACCACCAGCAGAGGGCAATGTAGCGCTTGTAGCACGTAAGCTACTGCTACTAGCTGCGCCTGGATAACTGGCCGATTGGCGTGTTCCTAATGCTGCGCCGCCTCCAGTACCGCTGTAAGCGCCTGAAGTGCGTTGTTCACTACCATAATCGTATATATAAGCATTGTTGGCATATAGAGCAGGCGCCGTTCCGCATTCAAATTGATTCCACCACACACACACGAGGGTCTCCTGACTAAAGATCGTGCCATTCGGACAGAGAAAAGAGTAGGTGCGATTGAGTGCGCAAATGTGAAATACTTGGCATTGCGCTTCAACGTCCGAGTAATAACCAGGCAGTTGTTGTGCGCAATCGAAATTGGTTTGCGGCACCTCCGCATATATGGGATAATCAACGGCTGGTACACCCGGTATGGCGGAATAATCACCTTCGCCACTATAGTCCACATCGTTAAGGCCCGAAACGCGTGGTGTATTACCGTACGCCGACTGACCGCTTGTAATACTCGTCAGACCACCGCCGAATACGCCTCCACCACCGCCGCGTTGCTGTGGCGCCAAAATAGGACGCTTACCCGCATTGAAACCACTGCCAGTTTGTAATGTCGCAGCGTTTGTAGCGCCTGTATATGGACCTTGCCCAGTGGCACCTAACGCTGACGGCTGCGTCCCAAAGCCGGAGAAAGTTGCAGTCGCAGCGCCGCCGGTGGCGCCATAAGCTGTGCCAGCGGTGGATGGGAAGCCCAGAGGCGAAGTCGGAGTGGCGGCCAAGGCATTACTGCCAACAGGCACTATCGGACGCAAGACATTCGAGCTGCCAATTCCGCCACCAGCGGCGTTCGCAATTTCAGGGCGTGCATAGTTGTAACCACTTTGCGCCTGTGAGGAATAAAAAAAACAAGTTAATTAAATATGTCCTTGTAGTAGCTTACAAATGACACTCACCTGGGCACACGTGGTGAATAGAAAAAGCGAAATTCCTGAAATGATACGAAAGAGAGTCTGTTATAGCAAGTAAAATGAAATTGCACAACACACATAAGGCGATACATATGCACAAATTTGTATATGTTTCGGCCACTGCGGCGCGAAATGAATTAAAGACGTCCGCTGCTGCAAATCAAAATGCTTCGGTCAAAGCGCGGCGCTGGCCCAGTTTTTTAAGGCCAAGAGCATGCCCCTAGTAGGCGCTGCACGTGATTACAATCTCTTGTGGCCAATTTAAACGCGAACATTTATCATTGGTTGTGGCGGCGTTGGCGGCACTGACTTTAGCTGCATGTAGCTTATATTAGCCGTAGTTATATATGCTCGTAGGTATGTCAACAGTTTTTGCTCTTAAAGCATATGAAGCTTGTGTCTGTTCTTTAGTGCATCTGAAGTCACTAAGTTTATAAGATTGTGGAAATGCATACCAATGTTGGATATATAAATCTGCAATTCGTATTTAAGCCGCACGTGCCACACTCACCGTACTTGCTTTTTGCATTTTTGCTTTGCTGCTGGCTTGATGCGTATAGCCCGCTTCCGCTGTTCGTGGCGCGGGCAGCAAATGACCCTGATTTCTTAAACCATTACCGTTTGCTAATATTCATACATTCATACATTAATCTTCGTACTTTATTATACACCTATACATACTTTTGCATTTGTTCTTTCTGCGTTTCGATACAAACTTCGTAGTATTTTCAAACTATCTTTAGAAATAAAACTATGTCGGCTTAGTGACACCATTTGTGACTCAAGAAAGATTGAACTGATTTTTCATCAATATTAAAGGGTCTTAGACCTTTTCACACTTTTTTTGTGAAATTTTTTGATTCGAATATTCATTATATGTTGTGCAAACTTAATATTATTGACATACTATATAAAGTGGTATATATGTCTGTATGGTATTGTACCTTTTTGGCTTTAATAGCAGTTTACCAAGGTTGTAAAGAAAAAGTTTTGTCAGTAGTTTTTTTCATTAATATTGAAATGAATTCAAATTAAATTAACAATACATGGGAAAGTGGTTTCAGCTTCAGTTTTATAACTATTTTTGCCAGTATACATGCGAAACTTGCACTGATCAGTTAGAAAGCTTATGGTATAACTTCGCTTCAGCGATATTTAAATTGAATGACTGCAACTAAAGTAAGTTTATATTATATTTAAAAAATTATCTTTTTGGAATGCTTTGCCTAATTTAGAAGTTTAAATTAATATTATACGAAAAAATGAAGGGTTTTGCACAAACTCTCTGATTCATTCACAGTATACTGAAGTTTGAAAAACCTCAAAGTAACCATCAACGCTTTATATAATTTGAATTTTTATTTTCACTTACCTAAATAATTAAATATTTTCAACATATTCGCCACGTTTGAAGCAACTCTAAATTATTTTTCAGAATAAGTAACTTTCAAGGGATTTTATTTATTTTATTTATATTTTTTATTATTTTAAGTCAACTTCACTTATATACAATCGCTCGAACACTGTTAACTTTCACACTTTACCACACGGCGTATACGCAACTATTATTTGCCTGGTCAATATGAAAAGTTTGTACTACAGCCAACCGATCGACCAACTGACATTGCATTTGTGTGCATGGCTCTCCGAGTTGCAGCCCTTTTTATACCATCAAATACATTTTTGCCACTTGCAAACGCTCATCTCATCCACCAACAGTTTGCTGGAGCGTTAGCGCTGTAGTCTCCACAGAGAAGCCTCCTAAGGTTGGAGCTGAAAATAGCATAAAATTCCACAGCAAACTATACATATTCTATTTCCATTCTAATTGTGTAGAAAGAACACTCAGCTGTTATACAATTCGTTAGTTGGCACTACAACTGATTGATTACATTGGTGTTTATTGTTTTTCGCCACATTGTTCGTTATGCAGTTGCAGTTGTTGGTGTGTTTTGCATTCCGTTGGCTGTTTGTTGCATCTTTGTCGAATTTACGATATGTGATTTTTTATCAATCCCCTGGGCACATGGCTGCAAGCATAACTATACAGGCATATGTATTTCTATGCATGTGCATAAGCTTCAACTCGTTGCTTCTCGGTTTTGTGACGTCGCTAACAACTTGTTCATAATTTTTGCTCATTTACTTTTCGCCTTTTTCTTCGTGTTTGCATGTAGATTTATTACCGTGGATAATCCTATTGTTTCTTTGGTAGTCCGACCCGGCCCATTAATTGAATTTAGTTAATCAATTGCGAGGTTGCCATATGGTACGTTTTTCTTGGGCCAACTTTTGTTAGAAAAGTGCCGGGGTGAGGAAAATAAAGCAAGCAAAAGTGTACCTCATGCGTCCAGAGAGAAAATTATTTATTTATTTATAAATGTGAAAAAAAAGTAATACAATTATTTTTTTACACGAAAAGAGGAGCACGGTCTGCCAAGACCTTCGGCTCGCTGGTGAGAAAAAATTAAAATTATATTATTTGCGGTTTGTGTGTGAAACATTTTGTTCGGGGTAAGCTCCTAAACTACTGAACCGATTTTTGTCGAACTTAGTATACTACGTTCTGTTAGATCAAATTTAAAAGATGGGATAGTTTATATATGATTTATAAAAGACAAAAAAATTAATTAATAAAACATGTATTTTAAACATAAGTTCGTTTTCAAAATTAAAAGAAAAATTGTATTCTTACTACTATTAATATAATTTTTAGTAAAATGATAAAGGAAAAATCTGACAATAATGAGACAAATGGAAGGTTTGTCCATTTTTGAAGGATTACCAAATATCGGCGCACATAAAATAAAAAATTTAAAACTTTGTATTATTTGTGTGCGTAATATCATATAATATTATTAGCACATATATACAATCCAAAAACACTTGATTAATGTTGGTTTAATTTAAACCATGTGGCAGCAATGGTTTCTCAGTTGCGCCGTTCAGTTAAGTAGAAATATATTTATTTTGCTTTTGATACAAATTGCAAACCACTAACGTATTTTTGCTGATTATATTTATTATATAAAGCAGTTGACCTAGTCACGTAGTACAAGGTCAGATGGTATCCTTGTGGTATATAACTCTCCCATTGAGCTTCTTAGCCAGGTAGCTTGAATGTGTAGCTGACCTCTAAATGGCTTTTGTATTTAAGCGACCTTCCAGAATTTTTGTACTTTAACAAATCAAGGAAATGTCAATGTCTTTGCTATGAAAATATTTTTAAAATAATTGGTCGATTCGTTCGTAATTCACTCAGTGCGTGATTAAAGATTTCTTCAGTAGTTTTGTGCTTTTTTGGATTAGAGCAAAATATGTTCAACAAAATTTCAATTACCGTGAGATATCCATTTGATAACATTATAATCAACTGATTTGCATAATAATTACTATTTTGACATTTTTAGAAAATATGTATTCACTAATAAAACCTTGAAAATACTTCTGCAGATTCATAGTACGCAGCTTAAATATGTAATTTGCCTTCTTTTATCGCATAAAATTGTATTATTAATAAACGTAAACAACCTATATTACTGACATCGCAATGAAATTACTTTTGTTATACCCTTAAAAGGGTATTTTACAACGCCCGCCTGTGCATATTAATTTTGCGAGGATACCAAATTCATACATCGCAGCATAAAGTCCTTTCCGTGCTGTCAAAAGCAGCTTTGAAATCGACGTAGAGGTGGAGTGTGTCTTTCACGGGTTTTTTCCAAGATTTGGCGCATGGTGAATATCTGGTCAGTTGTTGATTTGCCAGGCCTAAAGTCACACTGATACGGCCCAATCAGTTTGTTTACGGTGGGCTTTAATCTTCCACACAAAACGCTGGATAGAACTTTATACGCGATGTTGAGAAGGCTTATCTCATGGTAGTTGGCGCGGATTGTGGAGTCCCCTTTTGATGAATTGGGGAACTTACGTTCCAATCAACGCGCATGCTTCCATCAGACCATATTTTGCAAAGAAATTGATGCATGCACCTTCTTAGTTCTTCGTTATTCAGACGGATGTGGGTTTGCTATTCGAACTTCTTCACCGTCTGCTCCATCTACATCGATTGGGGAATCGGGTACGCCTTCTCCTGGAGTTATGTTTCTGCTGCTTAAAAAATGAAATGAAAAAGGAGCTTGAAATGCCGTCCCACATTTCCCTTATACCGAGCTGCTGATGAGTAATCTAAGAGAGCAGGAGTGCAAGTAAGGTAGACCTCGTACGGCTGTCTGTTGTGATTGCGGTTTTTCAACGTCTAACCTTCTTTGTGTTTGTGGGTGTACGGTTTTTGCTGCACAGAGGCGAGTGCGTATCTTGGCTGCAACAAGATCAATGTTCGGACCTCGGAGTGTACGCACGTCTAAAACACTGGAGACATGTCTTCCGTCTATCACAACGTGATCGATCTAGTTGGTGGCTTTTCGATCCGGAGACAGCCAGGTAGCTTGGTGAATTTTTCTATGCTGGAATCTAGTACTACAGATAACCATATTTCGGGCTCCGGTGAAGTCGATCAACCTCAACCCATTTGGAGATGTTTCATCGTTCAAGCTAAATTTATCGACCCTCGTGCCAAAGATATCTTCTTTGCTTACACTGGCACTAAAGTGGTCAAGCACATTATGTAGATATCACGGCTACAATATGTCATTAAACAAAAAGCTATTAAGGGATATAACTTAGCCACAAACTGGGATATTAAACTGTAATTTAGTACGGAGCTTCGAAGAGTTTAGGAACATTAAGGCAATAAGTTGAAAGCTACAACAAAGTTTCGGAAAGGCGTCGTAGTAACCAGTATTGAAGGAAAGCAATGGGCGTAGCACCTCGCACCTTTAGATGAAATTATATACCTTTGGAATGCCTTGATAAATTTAATCGAGTATTTTTGTGTAACCTACCTGTTATTGATCAATATTTTTTATTCTTATTCTTAGGGAAACTGTATATCAATATCTCAGTCCTTGTATGTTCGAAAAATATTTTCTCGAGCATACAAAAGTTAATGCATGCAGCCCTAAATTTTCTCCCATCCTCAATATACTTTGACCTAGCGGGTTTGGACAATACGTGGTTCCAACAGGCTATCGTCACAAGCCACACAACGTATAATACAATCGCCGCCTTCTTCAGTTTAGCAACTTCTTGCTATGCGACATTCGAACTAATCTAGAATCCATCATTCCATTCAAGTGACCCTAGGGGAAGAATTTGTGGTGTCGAGGGCATGTCCTTTTGCCCCCTCTACTTCATTCTACCTCCTTAAGTTAAAGTCGGATGAAGACCCCAGATACAGAACAAAAGTACCTCCAGTGCTTATTGCTAACTTTTTACGGAAAATATTTTTCTGAAGATAACCATAAAAGTGATAATGGTATGTCTGTATGTAAAAAGGGGGTTGAATCGGATCAAGACTTTCCTTAACTCCCATATACCTAAGGTAAAGGTTTACGAACTTCCGGGTGACGGTGTATGGCATATATCGGCCAATATGTGAGTTATCTTCATGAAGTAGAGAAAGCGTGTTTTCTTGTTAACTGTATAAAAATGGGTGAAAACCTACTTTAGCCCCTCATATAACTAATATCGGGATTTTCAAATACCCGCTTGACGTTACTCCTTATACATTTTTTGGTGATGGTATGTCAGGTACCTTACTGAAACTCAGAGTGAATCGTTTGCTAGTAAGAATATGTCATATCACCAAAGATAAATATGTTGAAGTCGAGTCAATATTACTCCTATTTCCAATATATATAATACTAGACTTTCTATCTTCCGGTTGATTTTATTTTTTAAATCGCTCAAAATGTGAATTTAAAGAATAATATTGGATATATCTACCTATATATCCTTGGGGATATATTACCCCAAATCCCATTCTAATATGCCTAATATGTCTGTCATTGAGTGAGTTGCAAGTATATTTAAAAAATTGGTTGCAAACATTAGCTCAAGTGTACTTGAGAACATGTTAACAGTTAACGCCATCAACATAGATACTTCTCTGCCTTCCGTATACCCTATATAACGCACCTGTTTTTAAATCGTTTAGGATCAGGGTACATTCAGAATGCAATAGTGCAATATTGCAATATTACTACATTTTTGAGTAACTCGAAGTCCTTTTAACGCATGGCACCATCTTTTTATAGGACGAACTTTTGTTGATCAAATCATAGTCATTTTATGGGATTCAAGACAATGTTTGAAGCTTATAAAAAAGTTAGTAGTTGGAAAAAGTGGTGGAAATTGCAGCGAAATTATGCGTTTCATAAAGCGTTTCGTTTTAGTTTTAGTAAAACTTCTATAATTTTATGAAACTGCTTTTAATATAAACTCTATATAAAATTCAAAAATATATCTCATTAATTTATCTTATTTTTATTTATTTATTCGTTCATTGCATAAATTGTTGGTATTAATGTACAAAAAATAATATTACAGTGTGGCAGAATAAAACGTGTCTCTAACAAGTAATACATATTTACATTGGCGACAAAAATAATAAGTCACTTTTTAGAAATAAATCATAAATAAAGTAAAAAGTTCACAAAAAGCATTAAATAAGAGAAACCATTCAATTGTGCTCTCTCAGAGTTTGCT